TAATTTTTCACATAGTGTGTGCTCAAATACAGTACGGAATGGTGGGTTAAGAAGAAAATTTCCTTCTTGACATTTAATTTCCTTGTTTCTGCTTACATCAGTTGGCCCTGTGGTATTGTTGAAATGTATATATTTATCATTAAATATATATGTATTTAAAGTATAAGAGCTAAGGCCCCAGTCTGTTTGCAGCAGTGAAGTCCTGTGTGTCCACGTTGAGCCTTATCTTTGGGCTGCTGAAGGACTGAGTGTGTCAGACTGAGGGGACAGACTGGGCAGTGTTTATTGTCCTCCTTACTCCTATTGTCCTCCTTACTCCATTCCCCAATTTACAGCCAAATTCTTGGTTTATTTTTCTTAAAGTAAAAGTAAATCTTTTACTCTCTCTACATTGTCAGATTATTTTTTCAGTGAAGAATATGTAATTACAGTTCACAGTCAAATGAATATTTTGATTTCTATAATCCTGAATACTCAAGAACAAAAGTTAATTCTTTCATGATATGGCTTTAATATAGTCTAATTTTCCAACTTCCATCTTCGTTTAAACTGAAACTGTCCTAGCAACTGATTAGAAAGATGCTGGAATAAGTTCTTTATTTCCCGAATCTGTTTCCAGTCTGCTTCTGTAATGACACTACATTAGTATTTGAAATTTTTATGACTTTTTTTATATATAAATGTTATACATATATAAGATCTCTGTGTGTGTGTATGTGTATATATATATTATCCAAAACTGAAGGTGACATGTTAAAAGTACACTGCTTTTAGATTTTATGTTCTTTCTCAGTGTTTAGGAAAGCTTCTAATATGCTGTTGGCTCTTCCACAACCGAAATAAATAACAAGATAGAGTAAAATCAGTTTTTTATCCAAATGGAAATATTGACCTCTTTATACTTTTAAATTTTGAATGAAAAGGAAGCTTACCTTTGTCTTTTCAGATATATTCACCTTATTCATACTTGCTTTCTCATTTATGTGTGCCTGATTTTCAGAAGTACTCAGCACCCACAACTGTATTTGAAGTTCGTGGGAACCAGAAGTGCTTAGTGCCTCTAAAAATCAGGCCCTATATCTTTTAGTGCTCTTTAGTAAAACTACTTGGAATCTGAGAAAATCTGATAGTATTGCTTTTTTAATAGTGCTATATTCATGCTGTTTATGGTTCACGGTACTGGCAGGTTATCTGGTGTACGAAAGCTCTTTAATCATATCTTGAGGATCCACTTCTTTCAACTAACATAGCTTATGTCTTGATAACATGACAAGATGAATTCTTCAGTTGAGGCCAAATATTAGTTTAGCTCAGCCTTCCTTTCCCAAGAGTTAATTAAGCAGAAAATGGTACAAGGTTTGTTGCTTATACAGTGTTTGAGAACAGGTCCCAGAGGGGCTAAGGGTGCCAATCTCAGGTGGCAGCAAATGGAATTAATCTGAAAGCCTCATTGAGTTGATAGAGCACTGTGACAATACATGACCATTTCCCAGCCAAGATATAAGAATGACTGTGGTTATCTGGTACAGGGCATGACTCATCTCCGCATTGCCTAAAAAGTACAAGATAAAGCACACTTTTGAGGGACAAAATTTTGCTAAGGATAGCTAAAACTGCATCTGGATATTGCTGAAGATCTGTTAGCATTCATAATAACGATTCTCTGCTGCATAATGCTTTGGTTATGGCTTATTTGTGGTATTGTAATGCATTTATTAAATGTGGTGTTACTTATGTCAAGTGACACAGGAGCCCCAGTTTGTGTGCCTAATAATCATCGGTATGTAAGAAAGAATGAATACTGCTATTAATCTTTTGAATATGTATAGTGCATATTGTAAATGCATGTATTTTTTTCACCTGTGCAGTTCAGAAAATCATTTAAACTGAAATGTAAAGGAGAAGATTGAAAATGTATATTAAGTTATTTGCAAACAAAAATATCTGAGAAATAAGTGTCAAGAAGCTTAATTTTGATAAAACTGCACTTGTTTGAGTTTTTAAATGGTTGTCTACTGTACAGTATGGTACACTAACAAAACTTTTGTTAAGATTGGGGGCTAATTCTCCTTTGATTTACAGCTGTGTAAATGAGAAGTAAATCTATTGAATCAGTTGTGTTATATCAGTGTAAAACTGGTGTGAGATGAGAATCAGGCCCCATGAGTAAATTGTTCTTGTTTAAGTAGAGCTGAAGTTTAGACGGGGTAACGAATTAATATGACACTTATGATGAAAATTTCCTTTAATAAGAATTATACTAAATTCCCACATACATCTATTTAGTCTTATATGTTCAAAAATTAAACATTGATGATCAGTAGAGGGAGGAGATAGTTAGGAATATATTTTTAATGACCTGAAAAGTTTCATTATTGTTGCTCACAGTTGGTGGTGGTTATGACTGTGGAGGTATAAATGTCAGAAATCCAAAGGGAACGAGATGGGAGGATAAAGTGGAGAATAATATAAGAGAAATAAATAATGCCATTATGATGCATTATTTGTGAAGATTGAGTGTGCTATAGACTAAACAAACTAAATCTCTGGAGTACATCTATTGTCTTCCTTACTTGTATTTAAATTAACTGGACCAATTCATCAGTTGCATGTAGTCAGTGTTGAAAGACTTTGCTTATTCACAGTTAGAGCTGGAAGGAAAATGATGTAGTGGACAATGAGGAAAAATATCACATGTTCTGTCTTCAATTTCTGTTTGGTAAATGATCTGTTTATAAAATATGGCATCTGATTATACAGTCTGTATTCAAGTAAACCTTTCGATAGAATCAGTAGGAGTAATCCAGAACACAAATTGTTGCAAGATAACATCCATGATAATATACCTTAATTGATTAATATTATTTTGACATAATTTATTTTTCTAGTAGTTTAGAAATAGACAAGAGAACAGTTATTTGCATGGACAATGTGCATGGATTATTATCTTTATTTTATTTGTTAATTTAAAATTACTTGGTGCCTGTTCCTGCAGATGCTTATGACAATAAGATTCAGGAAGCACAAAGGGGATGGAATAGGAAGTAACAATCTGGCCCAGGAATTTTGGGATTGCTGGACTAGATCAAAGCAGTGATCCAGTTAGTTCACTGTCCTATGTCTCTCAGTGGTCTATACCACATTTTCAAGGTCCAAGGAAGGACAGTTATGGAATAACCTGACCCATTGATTTTTAGGATTTTTGTTAATCCTAAACAGTTAGTGGTTGATCTATGTCCTGCAGAATGAGGATTTCAAGTAAGGGGAGAGAGGTGGTCAAGATGTTGTTTGAGGAGCAGCTAGACTCAGAGGGAAGCACTCTGTTGTGTTTGAAGAAGCTAGGCCTGCCTAGCTTACCATCAGGTACCATCAGGTGATTGTAAGATTTTAGTTAAAATAGACATACGTGTAGACTGTTGTTTTAGAATCCTCTAAATGTGTTGTGTCCTTACTGTTAAACAATATTTTGGTTTAAGAAGAATATTTCTGGTCACTATATTCACCACTGGTCACAGACTCCCAGCACAGGTGCCAAACCCAGTTGGACCTGTTGGGCAAGAACATTCAGTACATAAGGTGCTGTAAACCAGGGCCTAATCTAAGACTGGGAGAACTATGTAATTGCACCCCTGGAGTGGTAAAGACACGCGAGACCTGACATTTGAGGGCATGCACTCAGAGAAATCAGAAATGGGACAGAGGTGTAGCATTTTTGAAAGAAAATATGGCATTGCATGGTAACTGACAGTCTTGCTATCTGTGTCGATGGGAATTGTTTTGGTGAAGTAGAACTCATGGGGGCACTTGGCAAACTGATGACTGAACATGTTTCTCAGATTAAGAGTAAGGAGATTAAAACAATTTTTGTACATAAAACTTTTTCGTTTGTCAATGAAAAACTATAAAATAGGTTACATTTGAAATTTCTAGCTTCTGACAGTAATAGCTATGCAGGTGCAGAAATTAAGAACACATGAAAAATTAGACTATTTTTCATGTTCTTATAACTCAAAAATGGCTGAGCTAATTTCACTAAAACCTTCCAAAAGATTAATCTTTTGGCTGAGACTAAGCGTGAAAAAAAATTGGCTGTGGAGAAATTTGAGAAAGTTATAAAGCAACTGAAAGAAAAACTAAAATGGAATGGGAACTCGGACTTAGTTAACTATAGGATAGTACTGATTTCCCATGACTGCTATAATATGACATGTATATATGCAGCACTTATAATATAAATTTTCATATTCCGGTAAATGTTTCCTAGCCTTTCCCCCTGCCAAACATGAGATATATATGGTACATTTATTGAATGGTAAGTAATTAAATTTTTAATTAAAATAAATTCTTAAATAAACTTATTAGTAAAGGTGGTGAATTGAAAATCCTGGAAAGTGTCCTCTGTATATCCATAGAAAAAGTGCACTGGGGTAATGGCAATGCAATCTGCCATGCACTGCCTCACCAATATGCCTGAACCTTGACATGGTGGAAGCACCTTTAGTGTTAAGAGTAATTAAATTTCCATGCCTATCAAGTCCTTGACCCTTTTGTTAACATCACCATAATAACTGGCATTCTTATTGGCAAATGTGATATGAACACCTGTTCATGTAGCTGAATGCTCATGACACAGTAAGACACAGTGACAACTTTCATTCATTGCTGACCTATGCTGGATTCAGAGTGATCACTTGGAGATGGAAAACTCAGTTTTAAATATTATTTCTATTTATTATCTCCTTGGATTTATTTACAGTACAAGATAAAGGGGGAGGGGGACATAAACTTTATATTTCAAAGTAGTTGAATTTTCCTGTGAAATGACTTCTTCCCTAAGGATTTTCCATATTTTTCCTGATATCTGTGTAACAAGAGTAAGAAGCAGTATTCAGACAACACAAATTATTTTGCTGTATTTGCCTTTTATTTAAATAGTTCAGAAAAGTAAAGTAAGAGAGAGACAACAGTAGTTAATATAAAATGCCTTGTTTCCCCTCTAGGAAGAACGTGTTGTGAATCATATGGCGGCGAAGATTGTTGAAAATGTTTGCACCACTGATTCATTTCATGCACAGGGATTTATTACAGGAGAAATTGGACCTGTTTTATGGTACCTTTTCAGACATTCCACTGTAGATTCTCTGAGGATAACAGCTATTTCGGTAAGGAGCTTCTTCTCAAAACGTCTAAATATTCTGGTATTGTTAATTTGAAAAGCTTTTGAGAGCATTCTATACATATATTGAAATGTCTTTTGAATATTATTTTGATATGTGATGTTAACATTTTGTATTTCTACATACATTTCTAAAACTGTATGATAAACTTTCAGCGATCTGTTAGTTTTGTAGGAACATTGCATTCCTAAGGTATGTCTACATTGCAAGCGAAAGTGTGATTGTAGCACAAGTGGACATACCAGTGCTAGGCTTAATCTTTCTGGCACAGGTTACAGTAGTAGTGAAGATGTGGCACCATGGGCTAGCAATCAGAGTACAAGCCTGTCTGGGTACTCTGGTTGCTAGCCTGTGCTAAAGCCTGTGCCACTGAGTCTTTACTACTATGGTTCCCCTTGCTAGCTAGATTGAAGTACTCCTGTTCTTTTAGCATGGGTAAGCATATGGGAGCTACAATCATACCTTCAGTTGCAGTGTAAACATACCTTTAGTATTAGTTCTGTAGGCAAATGCAGTGTTTTTACTTGTGTAACGGTGACTACTGTATGGGTCTTGCAACACAGACATTTCTTTTTTTTATATGCTGTGATAAATGGAGCAGGGGATAGCTCCCTTTTATGGACACCCAACCAGCTAGTTAGATGTAAAATCCCTCTTGGTAGCTGTTCTCTGCTTGCTTTACCTGTAAAGAGTTAAAATTTCCCAGGTAAAGAAAAGGAAGTGGGCACCTGACCAAAAGAGCTAATGGGAAAGTAAAACTTTTAAAATTTGGGAAAGAAACTTTCCCTTTGTCTGTTCTCTCTGGGCTGGAGGGACAAAGCAGCAATGCTGTAAGCAGCTTAAGCCAGGTATGATGATAAAGCATCAGGTCATGCCTAAAACTACTTATCTGAACTCCAAATGTGTAAGTAGATCAGAATGTTTAGCTAGACACGATCAGGTTTATTTCTTATTTTGGCTTGTGGATCTCCTCTGTTCTAACCCCAGATGCTTTTGTTTGCTTGTAACCTTTAAGCTGAACCCCCAAGAAAGCTATTATGGGTGCTTAATTTTTGTAATTGTTTCTTTTAAGATCTAGCAAAAAGCCTAAGTTCCAGATGTATTTCCCCCCCTTTTTGTTTTTAATAAAATTTACCTATTTTAAGAACAGGATTGGATTTTTGGTGTCCTAAGAGCTTTGTGCATGTTGTTTGATTAGTTGATAGCCACGGCTGGTTTTCTTTCTCAGCTCTTCCCCGGAGGAGGTAGGGTGTGTGTGTGTGTGTGTGTGTGTGTGTGTGTGTGTGTGAAAGGGCTTGAGGGTACCCCACAGGGAGGAATTCCCAACTGCTCCTTCCTGGGTTCAAAGAGGTTTTTTTGCATTTGGGTGGTGGCAGCGTTTACCAAGCCAAGGTCAGAGAAAAGGTGTAACCTTGGAGTTTAATACAAGCCTGGAGTGGCCAGTATTAATTTTTAGAATCCTTGCAGGCCTCTACCTTCTGCACTCGGAGTGACAAAGTGAGAATTCAGCCTTGACATATGAAAAGGCAACAAACCTTAATTTGCTCACAGATGGAAATTGACTTCAGTTGACTTTTAAGCAAGAGGAGCCTTGTGACAAATATATTGCTGACTTGTGAATCTTATAATGTTTGAAAGTTTTGCTCTGACCTGGAAAAGCCTCAAAACTGTTTGACTTACATTGCTCTGCTAACATAACGTTATTCCTCTCTACCACTGTGACCAATAATTTTCACTCTACCCTTGTTCGCGTTCTGCTCATTTCACTGAGATGACTTATAATTGATGCTGAGTACATCCTAATGTTGAAAGCTAATATTGGACAAATGCCTCATGAGTTCATAATTGTCTGTTGGACTCATGCTTTATTGCGCTGTCTGTGGCAAGTATTCAAAGGGTTTTGTCTTCCAAGGAATCTTTAAAATTCCTACAGTGCTACAATACTGCTTTTAATTGTTTTGGAAAGGGGGGTAGAGGATTATTCTTGTCTACTGTTAGTATTACAGAAGAGAGTAGATGATCCAACCAAAAATCAGTGTCCCCTTGTTCTAGATGCTGTACAAACACATACTAAGAGACAGTCCCTGACCTGAAGAGTTTACAAGCTAAATATGACAAAATAGAGAAATGGTGGGAGGAAGGGATGCAACATACAACAGAAGATTGGAAACTGAGGAACAACAAGATTGTGAGTTGCCAACATAACCCAGGAAGTCTGTCATAGAACTGGGAATTGTACCCAGATGTCCTGGTGCCTGTTCTGGGGCCTAAGCCTTCATTGTAGATGATCATTTTTGAGGTGTATAAATGCCCTTGGGTTAGCTATGTAACAGCCTTTAAAATATAAACTACAATCATTTTTTAAAACTTTATAAATTCCATAGTATGTTGGCAATATTTTTTAAGGTATTACCAAGATTTTTCACCCTTGTTGGGTGGGAAGAACTGGAGGAATGGACAAAAACTACATTAGCAGCCACTATATTTGGTGTTAAACTGCTTTTTGTTGCTATGGTTTAGAATTTGAGGGTCTTGTTGGATTCCCAGTTGTTTCCAGATACTAGTGTCACTAATATGGTTGGTGTGCAATTAGAGAAATGTAGCAGCATGTTAATAAAGACATGAGAGGGAATTAAAAAATAAGCCAACATGGCACAAGAAATATTGTCCTTTACAAAAAAAAATAAAAAATCCACGTTGAAGGCATACTTGACATGTGCCTCTTTTGCACATATGTGGGGAACTTGCCAACATGACCAAAAAACACAAACCTGCAGAAGTGCTATGAACTTTTGGAATATTGAGGCTGCTGGTGTTTAGAATGGGATTTTACACTTATACCTTACAGGCTCGATATTGTCTTTGGAGGATTAATGTATATATTTTCTATGCTAGAAGTTGCCACTGGTTTTGTCGAGGCCAGGTCCAAAATTGTGAAAGCTTTTGGATTCCTTTGAAATATGTTCATTGAGTGCTTTAAACTTTATTAGATTATTAGGACATGTAAATAGCCATTCTCTTGTTAAGGGTTCTATTATAAATCTGGTTTTAGCACCTCTAAAATCCACGAGCAAAGGAATATTAACCTCAACAGTAATGGGTTAGGCCTGAGGTGGAGGTAGAATTTTTCTGCCGCATTTGTAGTGAGTTACACAAGAAGTTCCTGAAGTAGTACTGTTACAATTCAGGGCAACTGCACCTGTATTCTTCCTCCATGGTCCAACAAGGGCACCCACTCTACGCTCCTTGCTCCTCAGCTGTCACCTCTCTTGGGCGCAGACCCTGATCTCTCTCCCTCCTGATGAGGCTGCATAGTTCCCAGTCTAAACTGTGAATTCCCCAGCAACTCAGACTGCCTAAGTGGGCCTGCTTTGTTTCTCTTCTGAGGCTATAAACAACGTAATTTCCCACAGATATGTTACCACACAGACCTTTCTAAGCAAGCACATGTATTTTTACAGAGAAAACATATTAAAAACAAAACAAAAAAAAGCTGCAAGTGTGCTAATAAGCTTACTAGAGATCACCCCCCATACACTCTGGCCAGTGTCAATCCTTTCAACCCTTCCCAGGAAGGACTGGGCCTCCACTTGGACAGAAGGTCCTGTCCATTTGCTGGATCAGAAAGCAAGCCCTGAGTCAGTTTAAACTCAGACTACTTATCAAAAGTCCTTTCTTTGACTGTTGGTCACTGGAGAATTCAGTTTGAACCAGTATATGCAAGCCTGAGTGAATTTGCCTAATCACCTCCCACCGTTCTTAGTTCCTGAAGGCTGTGGTCCTCCTCCCCCATGGAATTATATATAATCCCTGGCCCTCAATGATCTATAAACTTAAGTAAGATCTCCAAAATATATTGAAGGAGCGTGCCATTTCTGTCACAAGGACACCCTAAACACTGAGCTGTTCATGATGAGTCAGACAATCTTCTAAACTTTTTTGCCATACAGTAGCAAGAAAAACAAAAGAATGAGCGAAAAAATTTAGCTTACTGGTTTTATTAGTTCTATTCTGTAGAAGTTCTTATACGACAGTGATGAGTGACTTATGTGAATACCTCCTCGTAGCGGGTTAAGCAGTGGTACTACACATCTGTCACCTGTTGTTTGTTCTCTGATTCTCTCTCCAGGGAGAAAAGTGTGTGGAATGGAGTGTCTTGTTTTAGTGTCTTGTTTTAGTTGTGTGTTGTGTTGTTGTGTTTTTTTTTAATATTCATGTTGCTATGTATTTATGTTAAAGAAGTTAAGGTCAGAGAAATGTGCCTTGCCCTTGGAGTGGAAGGTAGTGAGATTTGTGACAGTCCTTAGTTCCTGGAAGAGTTCATTCCACATTTGCAGACCAGTGCCAAAGAGAGTTCTGTCTCGCAAACAGATTTTACCTTTATTTGTAAAGGAGTACAGCTGTCAATCACAGTCTTCATCCCAGAACTCTTGAGATGGTCTTTTTGATATTCTGGGACCAGGCCTTATAGTGCTTTGACCTTGAACTTGACTAGAAATTCTAAGGGAAGCCATTGTAGAGAGTGGAGGATAGGTCTGCTGTGTTTGCAGTAGTCTGTGTTGCTGAGGAGATATATTACAACAGTCTGTATTAGTTGGTGTTTCCTAGGTGCTGAAGACTTCATGCTCAGGTATATCATATGGCTGTAGTACAGCCACGAAGGGAGGCAGACATGAATAACTGAAGACACAGGTCATTGTCCACCAAGGTGGGATGGAGCTGCCTAGTCAACAAGAAATGATAGCAGATCCATGAGCATTGTTTTCTATGTGAGAGTTTAGTGTCAGTGAGGAACCCAAGAGTATTCTTAAATGACAAACAAAATACTGTGAATGTGTAACTTTGACTAAAGGAGACTACACTATTGCTGCAAACTCTTCAAAATGCTTTCCTGTGCAGCCAGCATCAACCCCTCTCTTGTTCAGTTCAGCTTCAGTCAGCTGTTCATCATCCAGGAGCTGATCTCATCCAAGAATAGGGCCATC